GAAGGCTAGTATAGAACATGGCTGTGCAGCTTTTTGTCGGGATACGAGTATATTGAACATAATTATGAACTTAAAATCCCTATTCGGGGGGTTCAGTTGTATGGGGGCTAGGTCAAATATTGGACCGATGTTACCCATTTTCAATAGGATCCGTCTCTAGTACAATAGAAGATCATGCAAAATTTCATTGAATTATCTTCAAAATTGCTGTAGTTTGATTACAAGGTTTACACGGACGGACGGACAGACGGACGGACATAGCTAAATCGACTCAGAAAATGATTGGTATACTTTAAGGTGGGTATAGGACCAATATTATTGTGCGTAACAAACATCAGCACAAACCCAATGTATAAAAACGAAGTGAATAAATAAATTTATATGTGCTATGTGTATGGAATCATACCACTTTAAAAAATAAAAGGTTCAAATATGTATAAAATTAGCTCTGCGGAATTTAGTTGCATGATTCGAAAATAAAATAAGATCGTAATTTTCAAATTAATGAAAATTAGGGCTCCAAAAAAGAAAATAAAAACAGTTTTTGAAACAAATCCCGGGATTTATTTTGAAAAATCCCGGGTTTCGGGATATCCTAATCCCGAAAAATTCCCGGTATTTATTTTCCAAATCCCGGGATTCGGGATTTGCCAATCCCGAAAAATCCCGGAATTTTCGGGATCGGGATTGGCATCCCTAATCTGCATCCACATTGATGTTACAAGCTATACAAAACTGTTTTATTTGTGGTTTTACAAAATTCGTATTCAGAACGGTGTATCTCACAATATTATTCTCTAAACTTTTCGATAGCCCAATTCACGATCCGGTGTATTTTTGCAATTGTAAATTGTTTTGGCTTTTCGATTTAAATTCGTTCTTACCTCTATCTCCGGTGCTTTTAGAAGATATATTATAATCCTACTTGTCGCCTTTGGTCAATTTTTTGTTCGATTTCTTCTTTTTTTACTTTTTTCGTTTGATTTTTTAAATTGTTTTTATATAATTTTTTTTTTTATTTTTTGAGCTGACAGTTTGAGTAAATAAAAACTACGTATTTAAGTGTAGTATATTTTATAAACCGTAGCATGAGTATTTCTGTACATTTTGTTAGTGTATTGTAAAAATATATTAAACCATTTGCAAATGCAATGATACAAGACCATTTACACTAGATTGTGAATTGGGCTAATAATAATATATATTTCATTTATGAATATAACATGAAGTAAAAATTAAATAACCCAGGAAAATTTGAGTTTTGTTGCCGAATTTTAGATAGCTAAACAGAAGTTGGCACGTAGCCTCTCCTTAAAGGTCACAAAAATCAGTTTTTACGAATACCTCACTTATTATACGTCGTATGCTATTATAATTTCTATAAAGAATTAATTCCCTCCATTTTAGTTGAGGATTATTTTCTCATAATATCAATTACTTGTTTCGAGCTATAGAGTAGGGCGACAGCGATATCATTTAAAAGTGCTTTGAAAGCATATCAGGCAACAATCGAGATAAAAATTTTCAAAAATTGTTTTATGCTTGTTTGACATATATGATATATGGCGGACATCGTACCATAATTGACTAACCCCGATATAAGGCCTACTCAGAAATGTACTCTAACGCTCATAACTGATCTAATAATATCAGTATAGCGAAACAATTCGACACAAACATGTATTATTGGAACAAAAATCTCTGTTTCTAATGTTTTCAAATAAACCACGTTTTACTTCGAAAAGCACGAAAATTTCGTAGGAGCGCTCATATGATACCCCATTTGTTTATAGAGAACTTTTCGATTAAAAATTTAAATAATTAAACAGTTTCTTACAATACTAACTTGTACATAGAACAAATGCATTGGGAGTAGGGTTGCCAGATTCCGATTCGCAAAAAGCTGGACATTGGGTTTTAAAAAGCTGGACAAAACAAAAAAAGCTGGACATAAAAAAATACAGAGAAAATGTTAATTTTGGTTTTGTGTAAATAATTTCACAGTGATACACCAAAAAAATGCAGGGTTTCTCATATAACAATTCCGTTTTGTTATAGTCCATAGAGTACGAATATATTTTAGGGCCGATCATTACGAAAATCTGCAGTGTCATTTATATTTATATAAAACATATTTATGCCAATTTTTAGAGAGATAATAATATATTTGACGTAATAATGGCATAAAAAGCCCAAATCGGGAGGTACGGTTGTATGGGGGCTAGGTGAAATAATGGACCGATTTCAACCATTTTCAATAGGCTTCGTCCCTGTGCCAAAAATCATGTTTGGTCCAAATTTCATCAAATTATCTTGCGGTCTGTACCTTGCGCAAAATGTTTACATGGACAGCCAGCCGGACAGACGGACGGACATGTCTTAATCGACTCAAAAAGTGATTCTGAATCGATCGGTATACTTTAAGGTGTATGACCAATATTTTTGTGTGTTACAAACATCAGCACAAACGTATAATACCCTCCCCATTATAGTAGTGTAGGGTATAAAAATCGTAAACGTAATAAACGTAAGCTGTACGTAAAGAAATTGACTATCGCTCGCAATCATATTTATTACGACATCAGCTGTTCAAGTGTTGAGACATGTTGTCAGTGATGATAGAAGAGGGAAATCATAACTTAGTTGTATAACAAATGTACAAACAGTGTTGGCTAACATAATTTGACAAAGATAACATAAAAATTATTGCCCAAGTTATTGCAGCGTACTAAAAAAATTCTATTTAGCTGGACAAATTAAATTTTAGCTTGAAACTGGACAAGCATTAAAAAAGCTGGACAATCCAGCCAAGTCCAGCCAGGCTGGCAACCCTAATTGGGAGTGACAGGTTTGTATGGCTTCAGAAAGTTTGGATCATAACTTGTTGTTTAAAGTTTCAAAAACGACTATAAATTTTCATTTGTTAGTTGGCTTCTTACCTAACTCTTCCCACTTGCTTTTAAACTTGGACAATTTTACACTACACAAAGCTTTACTTTTTAAATTGATCAACTGCATTTCTAGAGATCCGCTACCGATTCCAAATGGCTCAATGGGGATTTATTCTCAAATGTACGATGGCAAGGGCAAAACAAAAAACAAGGAGATGAGTGAAAGCTAATGGTGTTGTTTCCGTTCTTACTCAAGAAGAATTTTTTTTGTTTTCCTCATGTACAGAACGATTAAACAAAGTTAAATAGTTATGTATATTGTAGAAACGAATTGTTTTTTAGTTTTAATACACTGCTCTTTAATCGATTCAGAAAGATTTTAAAATATAAAAATATATTTTTTTATAAAATAAATAAAATGTGTTTATGGTACTAAAGAGCCGCAGCTCCAAATCTAAGGAGCCGCATTTGGCTCGCGAGGCGTAGTTTGCCGACACCTGCTTTAGGATAATTGCACGTAATTTTTTATACCATATCAGTGGTAATAGAAGGTCCTTATCGAATTCTGAGTCGATTTAGCTATGTCCGTCTGTCCTTCCTTCCTTCCGTCCGTCTGTCTGTATAAAACACGCTCACGTAAAAACGATGCTAGGTTACGTTGATAGGAGGATGTATACTACATCAAATCCGAATAAATACACCTAGGCCACTATCTCCTTATCATGAAAAAAAGGAACTGAATGAATTATTTTTCAGTGTTCAGAAACTCAGTTTCCTGAACGTAATTCATAAGAATCTTCCAATCAGTGTTAGTCAGGAATGTTATTTCCGGAATAACATCACTTCCAAGATACTTGGATCTAACTTCGACGAATTCCTGGCAGTGGCAAAGAAAGTGCTACAGAGTTTTACTGTCTTCTCCACATGCTCTACATTCGTGTGAAGCCGCACGATGTGCTCGTAATCCTGTGTGTCCAACGGACAAAGTGGGGCTGGTAACAACGGATTCCTATTGGTATATGCTCTAATGTTCCGCTTGACCAAGACATTCTATCTGGGATCAGCGTTTCAAAGTTTTAGACATAATCTGTGTCTGGTATACCATCAATCACATCCGATGATTGTGTATAACCTTCCAATGTGTCCAGTATACATTGATGACGGGTCCTATAACCGCTTTTGGCCAGTTCGCCTAAGGTAAAGAGCTGTTCGGCTGTAAGCGCCGCCTTATATCTTAAATATGTTTCATTGGGTGGAATATCTAGCAACGTTTCCAGAGCCTTGATTGAAGTAGTACACATGGCACCACTTATACCCAAGCAGCATGTACGCTGAACTCCCTGTAGTAGTTTGATATTGCACTTTTTGTCTATAGCAGTCCACCAGATTATTGAAGCATAAGCTAGAATTGGTCTGATTACACTTTTATAAAGCCAATTTGTCATAGTAGGACTAAGACCCCATTTCATGCCTAAAGTTCTCCTACATATCGCTCAGCACCGATGTGCCTTGTTGATCCTCTATGTGGTGTCTCCATTTTAATTTCCGGTCGAGGATTACACCTAAGTACTTAACTTTGTCTGTCACTGGTATCTTTTTGCCCAGGAAGCAAGGTTCATTTCGCTGTCTACCTGTTCGCTGTCTACCTGTTTGCTGTCTACCTGTTCACAGAAAAGTTTCCTGGAGTCTCGTTTGGCTTTCGAACAGTTTACTACGTACTCATCAATAGTATGCGAAGAGTCTTACCAAGTTTCCGGATCTCCCCAGTTACCCAGGGCTTCTCCTGGGAAGATCTTCGCTCTAGCAGAGGGCACTGTCCTCGAACGATTCAACCAGAGCACTTGTGAGCATTTCTACTTTGGCGTCTATGTCCTCTTTATTTCGACATTGAAAAGTGTCCTTCTGAACCAGTGTTGCCAACTCGTGGTGACCAAAAATGGCTAAAACCGTGTAAAAAAATGGCTAAAAAATGGCTGAAAAATGGCTAAACAATTTTAGATAATAAAACACATACATTTTATTAAAAAACATCAAAAACGATTAATTTTTTTTATTTTTTACAACCATGTTGTAAATAGGAGATCATTCTTATTTGTACAAAAATTAGCATTAAAAAAATAAATCGTCTATAAAATCTGGGATATTATTATTTTTGTCATAAGACTCACTGGTACCAACTAGTTTTAAATAATTATTCGGTACGTCGTATTCAAAACAGCATTTATCGATTCTTTTAAGTCCAAATCTGCAAAATAAATAAAAATTAATTACAATGGAGTCATTATTTTTAGCACCCTTACCTGATAGACAAAATCGAAGTGACGGTTGATAGATGCATTTTATTTCTTAAGTAAGTTTTTACAAGATTTATTTGGCTGAAAACCCTTTCAACTTCTGCATTTGACCAGGGTAGTGAAAGTAGTTTCAGTACAAATTCCGAAATTTCGTTAAACTTTTTATTTCCGCCGGCATCTCTATATTTATATACTTCCGTCCAAAATGAAATAGTGTTATTTGTGTTTTTCCATTTTATATAATGGATATTTGAGTATTGCTCCTGAATTTTTAAGGATATTTCGTCATCAACATGAAATAAATTTAGGATTGGTAAAATATCCTCTTTAGAAGATTTTAAGACGTTATCTACAGAGAAATATTCAATATTTTGAAGTATTTTAATATTATCGGGCAACCTGCAAAATAGTGAGAGTAATTCAAATTTTAATTTAAAATAATATTTATGAATTGATATATACAAACCTTTGTTTCAATTGATTAATGAGATCAACAACAAATTTAACACAATTTCGTCTAATTTCACGTTCTGCCTTCTTTTTCATGCTTCCGTTTTTTTTTTTAATTTCCTTAAGATATGTTTCAAACTCATGACCAAGGCTGCATGTGTATAAAATAAATTCGTCGAAATCTGAATATAAAACGTCTACACTGTCGTCACCAACTACTTTGCGTTTCAAAAAATTTATCAGCAATAATAATTCCTTTAATAGGCGAGTTGGATCGTTATCATGGCCTTGAAAAATTTTGTTAACTAGTTGGACTTCAAGTAAAATGGGTTTCAAAAATAACAAATATAGACGAATATTGTCTTCGTTGTATAATTCACATAAGATTTTAGCCTTTAGACATTTTTCTTCCATGTATGCTGTTTCGAAATGCACTTTGAGCTCCTCCCATTGCGACAATATTCTTGAAACTGATGTTTCAATGGATAACCATCTAGTATCCGAAGTTTTTGGAATTTTTAATGGGTCCTATAAAAAACAATATACATACATATTTAACAATATAGAAAATTTTTTAAAGTTATTAGCTTTTACCTTTTCATTTAGATTTTTGTACAAATTTTTGTAAACAACTTGTCTCTTGGAACTTTTTGAGAACCAGCTGTAGGTTTCATAAACAAGGAATCCTAATTGCTCAGGTAAATATTCTTTTAGAGACTGGTTCACAGCCAGCTGAAGAGAATGGCACACACATTTAACAAGAACAAGTTGGGGAATATCCTTTTTTAAAGCAGTATAAACGCTTTTATTTTTTCCTACCATAACATTTGCGTTATCGGTTCCTATGCCAACTAATTTTTCAGTTTTTAAATTAAATTTTCTAAGAGCATTTTTAACACCAATAACAATATTTTCAGCAGATCCACTTTCCAACTCTTCTATTGATAAAAATGTGGATACAATTTTTCCCAAATTGCTGCTAAAATAAATTATTGCCAGACCTAAAATAAAAACAACTAAAACTCCGAAAAAAATAAAATTTATATAAACTTACCCAATACTTTTGTTAAAGCGACATCACACGATTCATCTATTAAAATACTGAAATATCCTTCACCAATATCTTTACGCAGTTCATCGTCAAAGTGGGGGCCAAGAACATTTTTTATTATATTGGTGCACTTAGTTCTATGAAGTTTTAATGATGAGCATTCCAGTCGATTTTTGCAGACTTCTCCCAAATGATCGACAGTTGAAATTGAAGCATGTACTGCTAAAAACATACACAATGAAGCCTCCTGTTGTTGTATTTTCAAACTGACTGGTTTAAAGGGCAGTTGGTTGGTAGAACCAATACGTTCAACTGCATTGATATGTTTTTTACTCTCTGCGTGAACATTCAGCACATATAACTTTGCGTTTATTTCGCATTTACAATATTTACAATAAGCTTTCTCTGGATCTTTACATTCACTGATCCATTCTTTTAACTTGGGATTATTAATCCATTCTTTTCGAAACTTTTGAGTATATTTTTTCTCCATTTTGTGCACTTTTTTGGCTTAACTTTTACTAGTTAATAAATTTTATCAGATGTTACTATTAAAAAAATAACACTGTTGCATTTTTTGACAATAATAAAGTGTTACATTATTGCAATTTTGAATAATAAGAGCGGTTTAATTCTAGCGATTCCGTGAGATAATTTTTATGAATATTTTTAGTAAAATTTTTGCTAAAATATGAATATGGCTAAAAATGGCTAAATGAAAATAAAAATGTCTAAAAAAATGGCTAATGGCAAAATTTATTTTTTGATGGCCAAACCAGGTTGAAATGTGCTAAATTTAGCCATAAAATGGCTAAATTGGCAACACTGTTCTGAACATATAGTTATAACTAATACTTCTTCTCTGATGCTATTGGCGAAGGTAGCTTTATTACCTAAGTTCGATGTGATCAAGTCGTTAGTATTAAGGAAATCCATGAGGGCTTGTCCTCTGCGATTGGTGTTTGTTCCACCCCAAGCTACATGGTTGGAGTTGGCATCACAACCTATTACAATTTTCTTGTTTTTTCCTTTGTGCCTCTTCGACCAGTTTCATCAGCTCCGACGTTGGTGGTAGTGTCGGAGAATCGAAAGTCAGGTAAACAGAGGCAAGATATATGTTGCCACGACCTTGCTTCAGCACCGTTGCATCCGATGTGGATAATCCTGTTGAGAGGTGAAAACATAAGTTCTTGTGACATAGGATACATGTTCTCGGTCGAGACCCTGTATCAGCGTAGACAAGTTGGAAATTTACGTGATTTAACCCAGAAACCTTGTTGCGAATTGTCCAAGGTTCCTGGATTAAAGCTATATGTATCTTACCTGTGTTAATTTTAGCCATCAGAGCGTTGGTAGCCGTCTCGCTCCGATGGAAGTTTATTTGGATAACCTCAATCATTGTCATCCATTTAAACTTCTTCCAGCAAGTTAGTGATCACTTCCCAGCTCTTTGGATTTGACTCCTACGGGTAACCTGAAGTCGCTATTGATGCAGTGGGTACCATTGATGGCACTGCGGTGTCCTTATCAGGCATAGCAAGAGCAGTCTTTTTAATTGACACTTTCCCAATTTTGGACAGCTCTGCTGTTCTGTCTTCTGGCGAGTGAGTGATTTCCTCCTCGCTTTTAGGATTTGCCTTAGGTGTTTTAGTGTCCTTATCGAGGCCGGTTTTGACATCCCTTTCAATCGGCACCTCCCCAATTTTGGAAAGGGCAGCTGCACCTTCTTTCGGCGAGTTATCGGTACCTTCCTCGTTTTTAGGATCTGAGTCCTTAACGTTATCAGTAGTTGCTACTGATGCTGTGGTCTTAGGTATTTTAGTGTCCTTTTCGAGGCTTGTTGTAACAGCCCTTCCAATCGGCACCTTCCCAATTTTGAATATGACAGCTTTAGAGGCGAAGTAAGCCCTACCTTTATTCATGGCAAGACTAGCCATAGATTTCTGGTCGATACGTATTACAAATAAAGTTCCCTCAGGTTCATCTTGTAAGAGACGTCCCATTTTTCCACGGCCAGCCGTATACCCGTACTTTTGAGGTTGATTTCGCCGACAGGATTCTGATTTGAGGTTCCTTTGAGTGAAGTATGGCTTGGCAGTATATTAAAAGACGGGGAGCTCTTTATCTTCTTAGGTTTATTTTCAGTTGTCAACTTTTCGGGAGATCTGATCTTCTTTGCTTCAGATCTTGTGAGAGAGTCCTATTTTTTCCTTTGAATTGTCGTTGGATTGACTAACTATGATTTCCTGAAGTATCTTTTTCAAATTTCTCCTCTGTGTTCCAGATAGTCTTTTCTTAGTAATAGGTAGTTTAGCTATGCTATCACTCACCTGTTTCACCACTTGCTCTACTTCATCCTTTTTGGGATTTGCTATAATGGTATTGTTATTATCATCTGAGGATTCAGATTCGGAACCTTCACCTTCCCGGAAAATGCGGTAGAATGACAATATCTTTACAAATTGACAATATCTTTACAAATTGACAATATCTTTACAAATTTTTACAAGCAAAAGTTTTATGTCAATTGAATTCATGTAGAGGAAAAATTTTCTGAATGGGTCCATAATTGGCCGTAGCTCCCAGACAAGATCCCCTCCCGAAAATCACTTAAGCGTACATTACACATTACCAAATAATGATATCCGTACAAAATTTTGCACAAATATTGACTTTATATACAGAAATTATACTGTAAAATTTTTTCACTATCGGTCCACAGTTGGTCATATCTCACAAGGTCTCCTCCCGAAAATCACTTAAACGCACATAACTCATTACCAAATAATGGAATCCATACAAATTTAGTAACAAATACTTCCTTTATATATAGAAATGATACTGTAAAATTTTTTCATGATCGGTCCATATTTGGTCTTAGCTCCCATACAAGGTCCCCTCCCGCAAATCACTTAAACGCACATAACTCATTATTAAATAATGGTATCCATACACATTTTGGCACAAACATTGCTTTTATATATAGAAATGATACTGTAAAAAAACGGTCCCTATTTGGTCATACATAGCTCCCATACAAGTTCCCCTCTCAAAAATCACTTAAACGCACATAACTCATTACCAATTAATGATATCCATACAAATTTTGACACAAATATTGCTTTTATATAGATATGATACTGTAAAATTCCTATACAAAATTTGCCACAAATATTACTTTTGTATACAAAAATTTAATTTTAAAATTGTTTTACGATCGGTCCACATTTGGTCATAGCTCCCGTAGAAGATCTCCTTCAGAAAATCACTTAAACGCACATAACTCTACCAAATAATGATATCCTTACAAAATTTGGCACAAATATTGATTTAGTTTACAAAAATTTTATTTAAAAAAATTTCACGATAGGCCCATATTTGGTCATAGCTCCCATATAAGGTACGCTCGCAGATATCACTTAAATTTACATTCCGCATAACCAAACAATGATATACATGCAAATTTTGACACAGACATTACTTTTGTATGCAAAATGTTGTTTTCAATTTTTTCACGATCAGTCTATAATATGGGTCCGATCGGTCCCATACAAAGCCTCTTCCGAAAATCACTTTAATGCACATCACCTATTACCAAATAGCTACATATGTATATACTTAAATAAAAATTTTGACAGAAATATAGCTTTTATTTATAGAAATATTACTGTAAAAAACTTTAACCGTATATGTATAATTAATTGTAATTAATTATAATGCTGCGAAAAAACTTGCAATTGTAACAGATTTAAAATATTTAAATTTTTGCTTGTTCTATTAGAAAAGAGAAACCCTATTTCCACAATTATTTGATTAACTAAAAGGTTATTAATATAAAAGTAGGTCGTGGAGGGTATTTAAGATTCGGCTCGGCCGAATATAGCACTCTAACTTGTTTTATTTATGTGTGTATTTTACAAAAATTGAGGTAAATTAATGTATAAGTTTGTTAATTTTCAAATAAATTTTTGTGCATATTTCAACTGGTGACCAAAAATATTTAATTAAAATAAACTAAACTAAATTGTATGAATATTTAAAACTTAAAAGGAAAATGGTCACTCTATACCCATATATTCGTCGTTCGTTTGCGTATGAAATATACAGTGTCTCACATAAGTATTCGAATTTAGGTGTACTTTTAAAAGAAACATAATTTAATAATATTTATTGTGTGTAAAATTAATAATTAAATTTGACATATTGTCTAGAGAGTCCTAAGGTTTAATATCACACTCCTTAAAATTTAGATAATTTACATTTACTTAAATAAACTTAACTTTTTTTAAAAAAAGTCAATAAAATTACTTCACAAAAGTATTCGAATTTTAACTGTATTTCATATTTGACCATATTTTACGAAACACAAAAATTAGAATCGAATGGTGTTTTTGCTTAAAATTATTTCAACCGAAAAGATATATTTTTGGCCCATTTGGCCCACAATTTTGGGGCATTTGTACCATCTTTTCATATAATATCATTAAAATGACGATTTTTGACCATATTTGCCATTTTTTTCTCTTTTTCAAGAGATAAAACCAAAATTTAATATTGGGATTTAATAGATTCCTTGAGGTATCTAAAAATAATAACTTTTGTTATAAGGACCTGTACTTAAACATTCCAAGATATATTTTTGGTATCGTTCTTCTGTTTCTTATTGAATTATCTGGATCTTAAGTCCCTTTTCGTACCACTAGGATCGATATTTTTCGACAAAGTTGGCTAGTATATATTATTGTAGATATTAGCACTAATATATTTTAATTTTTCAAGACATCGTAGTGGTATACAACTCCAAAACATGCCTTAACAAAATGTCATCCTATACAGTAGATTTCAGTTTTTACTACTCATAACATTCACGATTATGTTACCCATTACAAAAACGCTGTATGTCCAAAATTTTGGGTTTATTTTGATCATAGTAGATAATATTTAAACAGAAATCAATATTTTTGAGTTAGACCATAATGATATGGTGACATTCAGCCTAGAGGCCAATGGTTATAAAAAGAATGATTCCACTATATTGAATGGCGTTTCTTCGAGGCATGCTTTGGAGTTGTACACTTCCACAATATATTGAAAACTTAAAATGTATAACAGCTGATATCTAAAACAATATATAGAAGACAAGTTTCCCCGAAAATTTTTGACCCTGGTATTATAAAAATGGACTTGAGTTCCAATAAATTGAATTAGCGATAGAAGAATGATTCCAATAATATATATTGGAACGTTTAAATACAGATTTTTGTAACAAAAAATATTATTTTTAGATACTCCAAGGGGTATATTAAATCCCAATAACAAATTTTGGTTTTATCTCTGGGAAAAAGGAGAAAAAATACAAATATTGCTAAAAATCGCCATTTTAATGATATTACATGAAAAGATGGTACAAATGCCCCAAAATTGTGGACCAAATGGGCCAAAAATATATCCATTCGGTTGATAGTTACCCCTTAAAACAATTTTTAGCAAAAAAAAACATTCGATTCTAAT